TGCCAACAACAGCCCGATACGATGAACTACTACTGCTGCGCCGGCAAGGACAAGGAGGGTATTAACGGTGCGCGTTCCAGTCTTTTTACCTACAAATACGTGCTATCATAACTAGAACGAACACCATGGAGGGGTTCGGTCTTACAGAGCTTTCTACCAGGAAACAGTTCGGCCTGGCTCTAAATTTGATCTGTTTGAGAGGTGGCTGTTCCATTTTCATATTTTGAGAGCCTCATGTTTAAAAACCGTTGAAAATACAAAGACCCTGAAAATTCTACCCCACCGCTTCATGAGAATTGTATTATGTGTGTGTTAATTATAATTATATGTGTTAATAGTGTTAACTATAACTGTGTTGTGTTAACTATAATTTTTCTGTAAGATCTGAATTTTTCAGACGGATGCCCACCGGCGCAGTTCGCTTACATCACCAGCGGACAGGTCAAAAGCTGTGATCCATTTAACGTTGACCGTTAGTGAACCTTTCATTCATTGCTCACAAAGTACAGCTTCAGATACGAATTTGATGCTTATTGATTAGTATGATTTTACAAGCAGGACATCTAGGAGTTGGTGATAATGATTTAATGCACATCATTTGATCGGTTGAGAAAGAGTATGAATTCTCGTGTAAAACCTCAGGTTTGAAGCGCTTGAGATTCCCCCCCCCAGATTCTAGGCATCGCTGTTTGATATGAAATTGTAGGACTTCAATTTGGTAGGAAGCTACTTTCTTTATCTTGGTGAACAAGACTTACAAGGAAGGGTCTTTTCAGGGGTGTGCCAAGCTTTTTTCAAAACGGTCTTTTGCATGATATAGAGGCACATGCGGGAACCACAGAACCATGGTTAATTTTTCCTGAACGGCCCTCTGAATACCAGAAAAGGGGGTCCCTAGTCACACCTTTTTCACCAGTTTTTCAATCAAAGTCTATTTGTAAGGGTTACTGACGTTCCTAATCATGAATTTGGTACTAATTATTCATGCTAACTCCATTTTGCGCGAATTTGGAAACGTCAACACGAAATGCAAAAACTTGTCACCACGAGGAATCGAACTAGGGACCCCTTTTCTGGTATTCAGAGAGCCGTTCAGGAAAAATGAACCATGCTTCTGTGGTCCCCATATGTGCCCCAATGTCATGCAAGAAACCATTTTGAAAAAGCTTGGCACACCCTGAACGACCTCCCTTGTCAGTTTCAGACCTGAGTTTTAATCATCGAATGGAAATTTTGATTTTCCACCAATCAGTTAATTTTAACTTTGGACAATTCCGCCTTTATTTTGCTATTCAATAATGAGGAAATGATTTAATATTCTTCTTTGTACTTAGTTCTGTATATTTATTTATCTACCAGGATTTGTATGAGATTCACCTGTGTTCAGAGATGAGCTGCCCATCGGAGTACACTTGTCAATGGTTCGGTAAAATTCAGAAGTACAATGCTTGTGGAACACGTCCGAATTCGCAGACAAACCAACAAATAGTCCTGTGAGCTCTCGATGGTTGGTTCAGCTCAAGGGTAGCATCCTGCAGAGAGAGCACGCGATCCAGAACGTAAGCAGGGCACAGCGCCCTCAAAGCAGTTTCCTTTTGAGGAACTAGGCAGTTATTAAGTCTTGATAGGAGCGAGATATAGATGATGTTAAGTGGTGAACTTCCTTTTCTTGAGCCATAAAAATGCTCCCTTGCCAAAGATGAAGCAAACTCGATCGACATTACCGTACCAGCGCTGCATGGATTGATTTGATTTAGCATGGATCTAGCCTACGAAACTGGGAATAGAAGTGTGAACTAGTCCTTCATTGCCTATAGCAAGAAGCTTAAAAATTGCCAAATGCTCCCAAACGAAGCCTTCATTCAAGCGCCTTTTTTGGCATCTATCTTTCCATTTAGTCTGAAGGGCTTTTTGGCACCTAACTTTTCATTTGCCCTCGAGAAATGAAACCCTACCTAAACAGGACCTGGCTGCTGAGTGGAGCCACATCGCATTCTTCCGCTGCCACGCGCCCTGCTTTTTTGGAAATTAGGTGAAAAATGAGGAGAGTAGTTCACTGCGATTGTAGCATTCTGGCACAGGGGCCTTATTCATTAGAGCCGATCGTAGAGCTTGACCTGAACCGGAACGCGGTCGCTTGTGACCGCACTCGACCCTTTCTGTCTCCTTTGCTATTTCACAAGGATTCCTTTCAGAAGACGGATGCTCTCGGAAACAGTTTGCACTGCTTGACCGCCGAACAAATCAGCCACGGATATGCACTGCAGGCGAAGTAAGTAGCCATGAATTACATAACTAGGTGCTCTTACTAGTCCAAATTCCCCACTTGTCGCTAGTGTGTTATCTAAGGCTTATTATACCCAATTGACTTACTGTTCTATTGTCAGTGTAATGACTTTGTTTGACTTCAGAAGAATTCTTGCCCTACCGGTTTCTTCTGTCAGTTCTCAGCGAAGCGAAATCAATTCCAATGCTGTGGACAGGGTGGAGGTACGACTGATTCACTGTGTACTCTACTACAATAGATCACAGCTTGTGGTTATAATAAAATAGTAATAACTGGTGCATCGGCCTGCTATCCGAACTGGGCCTAGGATTTAACCTCCCTAGTTTGACCAAGCTTTAGATCCAGGGGTCGTCCCGATTGTCTGGGAGAGCCAAATAAACACGGTCTTCATCACCTAATTCATCGCCTACAGTCCTTATGCCATAAAAGAAGAAGAATGAGAAGTACTCCTTCAAGCTCCACTATCGTCTTGAATGGAGATTGAGTATTCTGGCGGCATACCTCGAAGAGCTTGCTAGACTCTGAGCGACTGAATCCCTTAGTTACGGATCCGGCTGCCAGCCGTTGTGTACCATGGTGTACATGGCTATGTATTAATAGGGCTTTGGTAGAGAAGGCTGACAAGCTATGGTAGTATACCTGAGTTGGAATGAAATGGTGCCCCGGTAGCGTAACTGGTAGCGCACTTGCCAAGCGAGAGGTGCGGGTTCTAGTCCCGCCTGGGGCGAAAGTTTTGTTCACAACCCAGCATTCTTGTGAAAAGGCTGCGTTCTTGAGCCAGGACCGATTCCGAGAGCTACATCTAAACGGTAGCAAACTGATGTACTCTGTCCCACCTTTTTTCAAAATGGTGACCAAAATTGCTAGCCAAATGGTCGCTGCGGTGGAATTCGTGCCTGAGGTGGTAAGTACTTGGTTCCGATCGAAATT